TGATACGGACCCAAAGCAGGCCAACCCTAACCTAAAATCGGGCCAAAATTGTCGACGAAATGAACTATCAGGGAAATGGACTGTCGGTGATATGGGTTGTCGGTGAAATAGGAGTCGGCGAATTAGGAGTCGGCGAAATCTATCAAATCCATAAACCAATTTCGTTGACAACCATTTCGCCGACAACCATTTCGCCAACAACCGTTTCGCTGACAGCCCACTTCCCAGACAACCATTTCCCCGACAGTCCATACTCCGACAGTTTATTTCGCCGACAGTCCATACTCCGACAGTTTATTTCGCCGACAATTTTGGCTCGATTGTTGGGTTAGGGTTGGCCCGCTTTATAGTTAGTGTTGGCTAGAAATATAAAGTCTACAAAATGGGATTGTCGGTGAAATGAACTGGGCTGTCGGGGAAATGGTTGTTGGCGAAATTGGTTATCGGCGAAATCTACCAAATCCCGATTAGAGATCAGATTCGAAATTTGAATTAGGGTATATACTTCTATATTTAAATTATAATTTCAGTATACGTAGAATACAAATTTTGCCACACGTAACCATAGAATTAATTAAAAAAACCTTTATATAGAAGTTTAATAGTATTAAACAAGTACCGGTACGTACGTACGTACGTACGTAGCGTGAATGTATTACAATCTCCATTTAGCTATTCTCAACAGACTTAACAGTAATTAAAAAAGAACTAATTTAGGGTTAGGTGCGATTTCAGATATCCGCACGATATGTATATATGGGTTAGGTGTTGGGAAAAGGGGTCAAATCAACAATTTTTTATTAAAAATAAAATCTTTTTTTGAACCTAATTCCAAATTAACTCAGGAACATTTTTCACTTGATAAAATCTTAAAATATAGTCTTTTAAGTTTATACTTCTTATGATTCAATACGTATAGATTTTATAATATAAGGTTTCGCAAAACTTATTTTTTGTTATTATCGACTCGTTCTCACACTTAGCCCATATATGAAATTCTGTAATGTTCATTTAACCAACGAAACAGTAGTGACTTTTCGAATAATGGATGTCATTATTACTTTTAATTAGATTAAATAAATTAACAATTTCTGAAATTGAATTGAGGAGATGGCTTATTATTTAATATATCTTCAATTTCCTTTAAAACATCCGGTGTCAGTTTGCACGCCAATTTTACTGCTTGAATATTCTCTTCTATTTGTTCAGGTTTGGATGCACCAGTGATTACAGTATTGACGTTTGGTTGTTTAATACACCTTATTTAAATAATAAAAGATTTAAATATAGCGAAATGTTAATTCCATAATTCAAATTAAAGAAAATTACCAAGCAATTGCAAGTTGGGCAGATGTCATCCCGATTTTATCAGCAATGAGCTGCATTTTATTGTTTATAAGAAATTTTTTAAAAATATTAAAAAGTCATTTCAAAAAAAAGAAAGCTAGATAAATTAAAAAAAAAACTTACCTTTAATTTTTTTATTTTTTCTATCTTGATTCTGCCCTCTTCGCTTAACAATCCATCCCTTAATCGCTGCATAACAACATTGTCTTGTAACGCTAATCGAGAATCTTCAGCTATTTTTTCATTATGTTTGCCCGTCAAGATACCGCCGGCAAGAGGTGACCAGACTGCAGCACCCATTTTGAATTCTTTAAATAAAGAAGTATATTCATGTTCTACACGTTCGCGATGGAACATGTTGTATTGTGTCTATAAATATTCATTAAAATCGGTAAAATTTAAAAAATAGAAAGTCATTGAAAAAATGTTAAAAAATGGTAGCTTACTTGTTCAACCTTTATAATAGCAAAAAGTATTTTAAATGTATAAGAATTTTTTAATAAACTAAAAGACTAAAGAGACTGGTTAGAATATATGAGTAAGGAAATTACCAGTGGAGGAATAAGTAAAAGTTGATTAGCAACACCATAAGCTTCTACTATTTGATGAGCTGCCCATTCAGAAGTTCCCCAATAGAACGCTTTTCCTTGGTTAATTAAATAGTTGAAAGCGCGAACTAGTTCTGCCATTGGCTATTATTAAAAAGAAAAATAATTTAACATCAAATTTTAAAATAAAATAATCTAAAATATATATTTTTTTTAAAGAAATTAACACACGGTATCAGGGTCTGGTCTATGAGCATATACAATGTCAACATAATCCAACTCTAATCTTTTCAGAGACGCGTTTAACCCCTCAATAATATGTTTTCTAGATAATCCTCGGTCATTTGGACTTTTTCCACCCCAAAAGATTTTTGTGGATATTACAAAATTAGATCGTTTCCAACCCAATTTCTTGATTGCATTACCCATATCAATTTCAGATTTTCCGCCGTCGTAAACTTCCGCAGTATCGAAATAGTTAATGCCATTCTCGAATGCTACCTG